AGATCTTGACAAACTCCACTAAAAACAGAGAAACAGTTCTGAAAAAACAAACAAACACCAAACAGGAAAAAAAAACAGGCAGGTAGCAAATTTGAGAATTCTATTGCTCAGTAAAGACCTAAATATTTCCTTAGAACAATCATTTGGAAGCTTCACCAGAAATACATTCTCAAGTAGATTTTGATGCTTTGATCAAGGACTGACATATAAATCTATCAAGAATTCTTCCATCATGTTACAGTTGTTGGAGAAGTTCCAAAACGGGGAAAATTGCCTTTCCCACTACATTCTCCTCTATGCTGAGTTCACATAGCCTTGAGGAGCAGTATAAGAGCTCATCTTCTGCTCACTCTGCCGAGGCCAGTTGTCCTGGTTTCGGCTGGGATAGTTAATTTTCTTCCTAGTAGCTGGCATAGTGCTGTGTTTTGGATTTAGTAGGAGAAGAATGTTGATAACACGCTGATGTTTTAGTTGTTGCTAAGTACTGCTCATGCTAGTCAAGGACTTTTCAGCTTCCCATGCTCTGCCAGGGGCACAAGAAACTGGGAGGGGGCACAGCCAGAATAGTTGATCCAAACTGACCAAAGGGCTATTCCATACCATGTGATGTCATGCTCAGTATAGAAACTGGGGGGGGTTGGCCGGGGAGCAGCAATCGCTGCTCGGGAACTGTTGGGTATCGGTCAGCGGGTGGTGAGCAATTGCATTGTGCCTCACTTGCTTTGTATATTGTTATTATTATCATCATTATTATATTATTATTATTTTACCTTATTACAATTATTAAACTGTTCTTATCTCAACCCAGGAGTGTTTCTCACTCTTACTCCTCTGATTCTCTCCCCCATCCCATCGGGGTAGGGGGAGTGAGCGAGCGGCTGCGTGGTGCTGAGTTGCTGGCTGGGGCTAAACCACGACACCAGTACTTCAAGCTCTCTGAAGAGAAGCTGTGGTCCCCATGCAGCTTTTCGGGGCTCTCAGTCAGCAAACCAACAGAGTCAGCATGTTGTCCCTTGCCATCTGCTGTCCTAAGCCTCTCCCTAACTAAGCTTAAGTTGAGCACTTCCAGGGAAATGCAGCCCCTCTAAGCTCTGGGGGAGTCATCACTGGCATCACTGCACCAGGATGTCAGTCTGAAGGACCTCTGTGAAGTTAAGAGAAGCCCTCAGTGCTTTGCACATTTTAGGGTTTTTTGTCTGCCCCTGAGAAAACACATCACATCATTTGTGTACTTAGCTTTAAGCATGCAAATGCTCTGAAGCGCTTGGCAGGGCAGGGCAGGGCAGGGCAGTGCAACACATCAGCAGACAGGTCGGTCTGATGCAGGCTCAGATGGGGTGGCCTGGTGGTTCCTGGAACAGGAGGCTGGGAACAAGGGGGACAGCGACCCCCAAAGCAAACAGCCGCCTCTGCTCACACCACCAGACATTTGCCTGCAGATGCCCAGAGCTAAACTACCAGCTGGCTTCGGGCCGGAGCAGGAATTGCCACTTCCCTGCTCCTGGGTGCACTGAGGCACTTTGAGGATGACTGGGACATGACTGCCACAGGAGAGGCATTGGCATTCACAGCACAGGTCATACCCACATGGAGCTCTGCTTTCCCTTTATCTTCTAGACTGCAAATGAATAACCATTCAAGCACATTTGTTATTTAAATAAGCTCAAAAAAGGAACATAATTATTATGAAAACCACTGCACTGTGAAACCTGTAACATTTAAATCCAACTGTTGACCTTAAAGAGTTTCAGCTCATTACACTTCCAGGAGGTAAAATGAGGCGAGTACTGCAGAGGGCAGCTGTGGTGGCACGCAATTCTGTGTTGTAATGAGCTCCTCGATAAACCTCTGCAATACATTTTGTTAACATCTACCTTCCGTCCTCCCTTGTCATTTTCTCCTTTACCACTTGATTCCTCTCCGAGCATCTGAAGAGACTGCCTGACTTTAATCAAAGAAATATTTCATAACATTTCCAGGCCTTGGAGGATGTCAGAGTTCTTCCAACTCTTCTAATGTCTTTGAAGAGCTGACATGCTCCTAGGACCAAACTCCAGCCCACAGCCCTCAGGAATGCTGGGAAAACCCCCTTTGGTAATGAGTTATGTAGTGCATGTTCAACCCACACATCGGTGTTGCCCAAGCCAGTGTTCTCCATGCCAGAATCCCCCTCCAGAACCAGAACCAGCTGAGACCCATCAGCACCGGCCTGCCTGGGACAGGGAGAGCAATGCTTTTCTACTCTGGGTCAGGGTGAAATGGATGGGAAATGTTGCTGTGACTTAGCTAAAAGCAGTTGGCTGAAAGGAATACCACACAGCAGGCATACTGATGGTATTCAAATGCTGATAGCAAAGTCTGACCCTTCCTCAGACATCCCAGGTGCTTCACCGTAGAACTGGTGAAAGAGGGAATCTGACCTCTTCATTTATGCGGCAGTCAAGAAATTATGTTAATCAGCCCTGGCAGTCAAGAAATGTTTAATGCCACACCAGCCACTGCCTAACGCTGCCTCTGCTGGGGAGGTGGAGGGAAGCAGCAGAGCTCTGGGGGAGCCACAGGGCCTGAGAAAAATAGGTCACTTTGTTACATGAAGTCCACATTCAACTGTTCAGGGTTTATGTCCACTTGGTGCATTTGAGCCCAAGGTTAGAACAGCGCTTAACCCCACGCCCAGCTCAGAGCCAGCGGTTAATTTGGAGGCAGCACCTCTGGGCTCTCCCCAGTCAGAACAAAAATGCGTTGAGTAACCAAGCACTACCGCAGACCCGGCTCCTAATTTGTCACACAAGGTCGAGATACGGCAGCACTCTGGACTGTTTCAAGCAGTGCTTGCGTTTCTTGCCAGCACATTGTATATCCTTGCGGAAAATGCACCTACAGGCAAATGGAACAGCAGTTGCTGTCTGCTCAGCAGGAATCCAGGCACTGACAAACACATGGCCCTGCAGATAAAGAGGCCAAGAAATGCGGTCCTCCCACTTTCTTCTACATGAATGCAATCCATAGTAATCAGAAATAATAGGCAGCCCAACTTAGTGAGTTAGTCACTGCACAGACACCCAACAGAGCCTGTCCCTGCCCTCTGTCACCAGTGACACACCGATGCCATGTGGCACTGCGCCGGGGAGCCATCCGGGCTAGCTCCGGTCCCACAGCCCACCTGGGAACTGGGCACGCTGCTGCACCCAAACACGGCATCCCAAGGAAGGCTCTTCCTGCATAAACTCACCAGCTGTGCTGCATACCAGAAGAGCCAAACTGCACACATATGGGAAGTCCCGCACTTCCCAGCTATGTGGTATTTATTCAATGTGTGCAAACCAACTCCTGAACATGCCCAACAAGGCTTGTCTGCCACAGACATGCCCCTCTGCCTCCCTGTGGCCCAAAGAAATCAGCTAGGACAGGGCTGCTGCTACATGGACAACATGTGCAGCTGAGGAGTGAGATCTCCTTCCCCAAGGGCTCTTTGGAAGCAGATAGGGAGCAAGGCACAGGCTAGATGAATTGTGGTGGCAGCAAGCTCCTCTCTTACCACTGTCATTCCTCTCAGATTTTCTCCAATATATGATGCGGGGGAAATGGCAGAGGCTAGGAAAAATGGTGACTGGGAGCAGGCTGCCAGCACAGCAACCCCTTTAACCTACAAGTCTGAGTAGGCAGGCAGGAGTAGGCCAAGGGCACACAGCTGTCCTCCAAGTCCCCATGATTCAGGATGGGCACCTCAGTCTAGATGCCCTTAGTTACAGCAGCAGTGACCTGCCTCTACCATAGATCTTGCTACAACTACAGGCGATAAATCAGTGAAAAGGGCAATGAGGGCACAGCCTAGCAGTACTGGTTTTCAGAGGCACCAATAGGCACTCACTGTGCAAAAGCCAGTCCATTAAATTAATTTGGAAATGCATTGCAGGTGGCACACTCCTTTGATAGCACGAGAGTTGTATTAAAATAAATTGTGCCAGGCATTGCAGGCAGCGGCAGCAATGGCTGCTGTGAGTCAGCCAGCCCAGCATCACTTCCCCTCTACTCCAGTTCTTTGTTCTTCTGAAGTACAATAAATAAAAATTGTTCCACTGCCAACATTTAGGGGTTAAACTACCCTGCAGAAAATTTGCACCAATATTGCCCTCACTTTAATCTTTTTCCTGTTTTTTTTTTCCCAGGGGCATCTGAGCCGGCACCACACCTCAAGCCCTGGTGCCGCTGGCACAGAGCCCTGCACTCACAGGAAGGCAGGCGATTAGCAGAGCTGGTCAGGGTATTCCAGCTGGGCAACCTCACACCTCAGAGGAGTTTTCAAACAACCCTAGACCAATCTGGGCAGTGACAGCATGAATTGCGGGTACTTGAGGGTCAAGGAGGAGAAAAAGGGCTGTGGTATCCCACTGGCTTTCCAGTTCCCCTTGGGGAAATCATTAGTACCACAACCAAGAAAAGAGAGTAAATTCCAAGCTGCAAGAGATCTGTGACCCCTGACAGACACGAAAACACACAGGACCCTCTACTGAACTTTAGGCAACATTTTGACTCTTCAGCTGAACTGCTTCACATGCCATTCATTCCCTCCCCCTGACCCACAATTATATACAGCAGCTTTACCTTTCCTGCGCAGAGCTCCATTCCAATTAGCTGTGGGCTGCAGGGAGGCCGCTACAGCTACATCAGCATAAACTGGTGTAAGAGAAGGGAGAACCAGGCCCATTGTCTTTAAAAGCTCAAAACTGCCCTCACTGATTTTCATGGCCAGTATTTTCCCACTTACTTCTCTTCACTGTAATTCACAAAAGTAAAATAAATGCTCTGCAGAGGCAGTATCTGAGTTTGACCACTGTTTTGTTAACATATGCACACGGTCCTAGTTACTGTTATTAATTCAATAAACAATCTTTATTCTGCTATTGTAAGAGAGGTAATAGCTGCAACCTGCATTAAAAATATCTTTCACACTGTAAAAAACAACCAGATGCCACAGGTAGTGGAGGAAACACCACAGGCTACAGCTTTTCTAGAACCACACACCAGTTTCCCTGATCATAGTAACTCTTTTGAACCCTCACACAATCCACGGATCTGCATGCTGCTTCCAGTTCCCCTTCACAGAACACATGGTAATAACGATGGAAAACGGGTCTGAGTTCTTGTGATTCCTTAGAGCCAGCTGGAAGCGACACTGTATCAACACTTTCCCCTTTCTTTTTAGTGCCACCTTTCAGGTGCCAGGGAACCAGCAAATCTTGAGAGTGGAAGGAGGTTCGGTTAGTGTGAACAGGCAGTCTGGAGTCTGCGACTGGCTTTGCGTCACAGCCTTCATCCTTTGAATCAGTAAGGAGTCGGTCAGAACATGATGAGTCTTGGCTGCTGCTATCAGGCATTTGATCAATAAGTGGTCTCTGGGCTGTGCCAGTATTGATTTCCTCCTCCTTGTCTTTACTACCATTCTTTTCCTTAAGGTATTTAGACTTCTGATTTTTGTATTCTTGTTCCATTGCCCAGACATAAATGAGTGCCATTCCACCAGGTCTTAGAAGCCGGGCTAGTTCACGGATAGTAGCCAATCTCCTCTCCTATAAAGGAAAAACAAAAGTATGAAGCTAATACATAAACAGAAAGACAGGAGAATGGAATGGCAGCAATTCCTTCTTACTGTCCCCCCGCCAAGATACAACAGAAATCAGAGGCATTTTTTCCACTATTCATTTTAATTCATAATATAGCCCATTACTATGTGCAAGCCAAGACATTTTCCTGAACGCAATTCTCTTTACATCTGAAGACAGTGCTGTGCTGAGCAGGATTCCTTGGCCATATCAGGCCAGCTGGAAATGAAAACCACCTCTTCAAGAAGGTTGTTCAGTATCTAAAATCCCAGATTCAGATCTACCATACCTGATAATACACACCCTACGTTTGCAGCTGAAGGAGTCAGATTTATGGCTTAAACACAGGTCCTCTTGACCACCCGAACAAAGATATCAGCCTTCTCCAAAACAGACTTCTTCCTACTTTTTATATTGCATTTAGAAACGTTCCCTTGGGCCCCACCTCAGATTATGGTTCTGTGGTCTAGAAGCTTGTTACAATCGCACAGTTCCTGCCAGGAGCTTACACAGCCCAGAGATACGGCAGACTAGTGAGTTGTGTCCCTGCTGTTCATTGCAGATGGATAATGAAGGCATAGAGAAAAAAAACCATGAGATCTGCTCAAGATCTGAGCCGAGAAGTAATATATCTCTTGACTCCCAAAGCAGAGCCCCCTTCTCCATTGTCATTAATTGTAAGCAGACGAAAATGAAACACAAACACCTAGATCAAAGTGCCAGGAGGAGCTAGGGCATCTGACAAGCAGACGGGAGGGAGAATGTGAAGAGAAAGTTTAAGAAGCAGCAGCAGCACAATAGTTTAACGCTGCTCCAACAACTCCTTACACCATGTGCAAACCTTCGGATTTCCCCCATTTTGTTCTTCCCATTTGCTTCCATGAGCCCAAACTAGCAGGTTTTTTGTAATATTAGTAGCTCTGCACAGCAATACAACAGTACAGTGGAGCACAGAGAGGGGTAGCTTACCGCTGTTGAGAAATGGTGAATTACGGCAATAGAGATGCAGGCATCACAAGAACCACTGCGGATTGGCACCGACAGGGCATCGCAGACAAAAGCCTGGAAATTTTTTTCTCCACAAATATCCACCAGGTTTTTGCTGCGATCACAGCCAACCTATAATAGAAAGTGTTTCGTTAAGCTTTTCATAAGAGTATAATTACAAGACTGGAAAATTATTTTCACTTGATGCTTACAGTAATAGAGTCATCACAGTCTCCTACTGAGGTAGCACATTTTAGTTTAAAATAAAAATGAGAGCAAGCGTGAGAAAATAGCCTTAAGTAAGAGTAATATATGGTTCCCAGGTATAGAAAAAAGAAAAAAAACTGATGCCTACTTAAAACAAAGATGGCAGACGGGATATTAGACAGCTCATTATAGCACCCTGATTTTGAACCAGCTTAAGACAGGTTTCAACCTAACTTTTCCTCAAAACTGGCTCTTAAGGTATCTTGAAACCAGGAAAACGAGAGGTGACCTAACCTCAGCATTTTCTTTTCCTTTCAATTGACATTTGTAACCTGACAACATTTGAAGCAGCCAAATACTGAACTCACAAAAAGTTGAGTCTGCAAATGTAAACAACAATCTGGTGACCTTGGTGGCATCACTGAAGTATGTCGCACAGCTTCACGAATCACCCAGGTTTCGTCATTTCAGTGTAAGGAAGGAAGTGCTCAGGTACAGTCCTCTTCACCCTCAGTATCACAGTCCACAAAAATTTAAGCACAACATACTCTTCCAAGGTTCTGTACAGTCTAAATGAAGTGACCCCTAGGAACCATTTCAGGACACCTCATAAAATGTTTCTTTTTTTTCCCCTTTGAACCTTGCCCAGTGTCCAGGTCAAAAAGTATGGTAAGAAAAAGCATCTAGAAGAGGGGTTTTCACATGCTTGCATAAAAACAGTAAATCCAAACTGATCAAGACCCTTCTGAAAGAACAAATAGAGCAAGGTATGCACCACCCTCATTTTCACGTCTGCCACACGTGTTGAATACTCGAACCAAAGTCCTGCTACCAAGTCGTATATCAAACTCAGCTTGCATGAGAATAGTAAATTTATTTTTGTTTTCAATGATCAGCAAAAAGTAGATAGCAGAGAACAGATTCAGAATCCTAAACAATTACTTCTGACAGTGTTTATTGCATTTGACACAGAAAGAATACTAAACCATCCTTGACGCAAGAAGAGTAGCAAACAAATTGCACTGGTTAATTTTAGCAGTATTGTTGTACTGATTAAAAATCTCTTTTGCAATGATTAATGAAAATATATTTATTTTCCATCATAACTTTTCATTTTATCAGATCAAATCATTTTAGCTTTCAGACTACCATCACAGTTTTGAAGAAAACCAGGATTCTGTTCCAGTCATATGTCCTGAAAGCTTCCAGGTGAGCTGCTTTCTAGTCAGGTCCCTGACTTTTGGTCCAAAGTAAATGAAACAGTTGTGAAAATGCCAGCCTGACAACCCAAGATAATCCTCTGCAAAAACAGTACTATGAATATGTACATATTGTCCTGCCAACTAGCTCTAAACAGACCTGGAAAGATCAGTCCTAGCATTGCTTTCTTCCCATTTATTCCTCAGCCTGGTCTCTGCATTTACTGAAGCACTGAGTCAATAGTGTTATTTATGAATAAAAAAAAGGAAACTCTTGTTTAGGTGGAAGTGAACAAAAATCCCCATCATTTCACACTGGAAGCCAACTGAAGTGTCTTTAAATTACTCTCATCATGGAATGGATTTAGCTGACAACCTGCATGTTAGAGATTCCATGCCTCATTACCAGTGCCTTCAACTACTTTTGCAATTAAGACATTAGCATGCAATATTTAATAAAACTCAAAGGACCAGATTCACTGGTGGCAGAAGGAGGGGGAAGAATACTTGCAACTTCCACTGACAACAAGCTTTCCCAGAAAGAATTGCTTTGGCCCTGCACATCTATAGTAAAAACAAGCTAGATAACGGAACTCAATCCTCCCCTCCCAAAATGACCTTGAAAAGGACTATACTGTATGCTGATGAAATCCAGTGAACTGAGAATGAGAACAAAGGCATGACTGCCAGAATGTCAAGTCCTCATTTGCATCTAAATTATATCAAATAATTACAAAGTCAAGCTCACTTGTATTGTCATACTTATTAAAGTGAATCTACATCCAAAGCGAAAAAATTCTGTTTTGCAATAAAATGGAGACCTTCAAATGGATCACTTTGAATGCACAGCTGCTCTAAAATAGGCATATTAAGCTAAAATTTTAAGTTGTCTTAAAACAACATCATAATAGGTGCTACATATATATGCATAAATGCTGAACACAGGGAGTCACCACAGATATGCCTGGTGCTGGAGCGAAGCAAATTTAGCATCCTTACTAGAATTATCTCTGCATGATATTTTGAAAGAATTACAATCACCACATTCCTGCATTTACTAGCTTACAAGAAACATGCACTCATTAAAAACCAAAATACATTGGTTTCAGTCTCTTACAAAACAATAAGCTACCAAAGAGCAGCCAACTTCAGTGGTACAATGCCAGCTCACAGCTGGAAAATGAGCCTATCTATGATTTTTATGAGTATAGAAAACATTTTCAGCAAGGGGCAGAGACCCCAAACTCCACTTTTCCCAATTCTGTTACTAATTTCTACATTCTGAAGCATGCAGAAGCTTTGATGTGATGAAGCTTTGTTTACAGAAAACAGTTCAAAGGAATATTTTAGTTTAGAATAGGTTTATTTTTCTCTCCTAATTAAACATGTAATCAAAACATTTTAAAAAAAATCTCAGAATATAACTGGAATGCTTTAGTTTTTGCCAGTTCATATCCAATTTTGATGCTTTGCACACAATACTATCCTTGCTGACATCTCTTCTAGAAGAGAAAGGTAGACGAATTACTATTAGTTCAGTGTCCAAAACCAACAGAAATCTAGTGCATCTCTTGGTGAGCCAAGTTGTATACATTTTTAATACATTTCCCTACTTCTTATTAACTCTCAGTCTTCTCAATCACTTCTTATACCTGTTTTCCCAGTTTTCCAAATCAAATTCCTTGCTCAAACCCCCCAATTTCTCATATATATCTCAAATAGCATGGCTGAAGCCGAATCCACCTCTTCGCCAAGTCCACCTCTCAGCAAATTGCTCTATACCCAAAGGGGGCTGGCTTCTCCCATTTCTCAGATTTTACTCCATGCAGCCATTTCCACATCCCTGCCTTTTCAGCAGGTACCTCCACCCCTCTCTTCACTGCTTTTTGTGGTGTGGAAAATGGTTCACAGGAGCTCCAGAGTGGCCACTGACACCTTTGTACTGGGACTCAGAATCCACTGACATTTTTAACAGGGATTCCAGGCACCAATTTTTACTGTATCCAGAGGAACACTAACTGCATCCAACTCTTGTTTTAAGCCAGGAAATCTGTATTAGTATGGAGGCCTGTAACTCTACAGCTAGAACCCCAGCAAACACAAAACTGAGGAAAGAGGCAAAAGCCTGTCATCATTCTGGCATATGGCACCCTCTCTTTAGGGCACGCTGGGTAACGCAAACCTTTAGACTAATGGACATATCAAAAAGGACTAAGATAAAAGAGGATAAGGGAAGGGAGAAACAAATGTAACATCTGCAATTTGTCTGAGTTTGCAGCAGCTCTGTACTGGCTTCCTGGGACCAGGATAACACAGGCAGATACCCCATCCGGCTCCTTTGCATTCCCTGGCACCTTCACTGTTTCAACCAGGAGTAGCTAAACTAAGTTTTATAAAATCTACTTAATGCAATGCTTTAGAATAGATCACTGGGGGCAAAAGACACTAAATAAATAGCTTGCTTTGTAATGGTGCTGCAAGTCTGCAAGACATAAATCCTTTTGCAAGCTTAAATAAAGATAGGTAAAGACAGGTCAATGTTGCCCACCATTATATAGTTTCTTTCTATGTTATCTCATTATAACTAACTCTATCTGGTAGAATTAGTTAATTCAAGTATCTGGAAACCTGATTGATTCAGCACATTAGAAACTGATGAAGAAAACGACATCTAATTCTGAAATCCAGCCGCCAAATGGAATTATGTGGCTCCCCGGAGAAACACCTCAGCTCTAACTGATAGCATGAGAGCCTCAAGGAACCAAATTACATTCCAGCAAACACACGCATACGTAGAAAAAGAGGCATCAGCATAGCCACAGCAAGACAGACAAATCTCCTTGCTCCAGTTGGTCTGAGTCAGGCCTTTAGCATTCTTTTCACGTAGCATTTTGGTTTTCCATTGCGTACAGTCAGAGTGTCTGTGGAAACAAAGTGCTACATCTAAAATGTGAATTTCATTTCTCAATGACAAAGCATCAGAACTAAGTTGAGCAGTTCAGCATTCGTTCTGGTTTTGTGCTGCCGTTGTCCAGTTCCTTCTGAGCTCTCTTCATCCCAGGTATCTCCCATCATTTTAGTGATTCCTACTCATTGAGATAAAAGGGCAGGAAAGGTTCCTCTGCCTCACCCTCTGATCACTAAAGTAGTGAACTAGCTCCAAATATACTTTTGCCAGTTAGTTTTGTCCTTCCTGCTTTTACCCACTACTAAGTTCTACAGATAGGCATCTGTTCTCAATCAACATGGACCCAGTGTAACTAAAACCCACCCACCATCATGCAACCGTACTGCAGCAAATCTTCACCCTCTCTCTTCCCAACACCCTGGCAAAATCAAACTTTTATACAGTTCCAGCAGATCCCAGTTTGGGACAGTAATGCAGAAAAAGACATGCACATCTCACAGCAAAAGGGTGTCTTACAAGAAATAGGAATGTCTGTATTAAAGCAAAGCATTTGGGCTCCTACGTTGCCATCATTTTTCTTCCTAGCATCAGTAGTCCAGAAAGGAGGGTAATTTCTTTAGATATATAAAGAAAAAATATCTACCCAATTTTCAGTTGTTTGTTACTGCACCACTTTATCAGTTCAGTTAAAACTATAAACCACAAAATTGAAAGGCTTCAGTGTCTTTCACTCACACCCTAGCCCTGTGAGGTTGCTGAACGTTCCTGTGGGGAACTGGGAGGCAGAGCTAAAGCTCATAAAAACTGATGAGATACAT